GTATTGATGTACATTTAAATTCGTTTATACCAGAAAACTGATGGTGTCCGTCAGCTTTTGAGTTATTTGTATTGTCTTGTCTCTATTTTGATGATGCCTATTGGCTTTTAAAATGAAAATTTAACAGATGCAGTAATGAATAACAGGTGGTTGAATATATTATTAATTTGATGAAACTATTAGGAATTTTGTACTTCATGTTATTGAGTTATTCATTTTATTTTTAATTTTACCATTTTTATGTTATTGTTATGGGTCTACACAATTGGTTGTTAAAGGAAGGATGAAAGTTATAACCAAACGGGTCTAGATTCATTGTCATTCTTGCCACGAAAAAAAAAAAAAGAATTTGCTTTCTCGTAAAAAAAAAAGAAGAAAAGGCAGCAACATTTTCTCATTCTGCCCATGGCCTAAGATCTAACTAGTAGACTTTCTTCGAACTTTTGCCTGAATTTTCATGGCTGTAGATAAAATGAATCGACTGTTATTGTTATTTGACCCTTTCGGTAGTCTTGCATTTTTACCTTATAGATCTCAATGTAATTGTAACAGAATACACCAGTCCTGGCATGCATGCGACTTGCGACATGCCAAAAATTGTGTCCTACCATCGATGATATTCAGGGTTATGGATCCTTGCATCGCACCCGTCTACATGAAAACATGATGACTTGTGGGGGTGGGGTGGGGATGACATGGCATTCATACCATACATATGAAATTTGAGTCTGACTCATAGGCTGCATTTGTATGTCATGTAAATCAAGAACTGATGTAAAATTTACATTGCTTTGGTTTTGTATGCATTTAGAAAGATGGTGTAATTATTATTAATGTAAAACTATACTCCGGTTCAGTTTTGCGTGTATTTGAATGGAGTAAGGTTCAAAATATCGATACGTCAATATGGGCGTATCGGAGGGGTCCTGGAATGATACGTATTGGCCGATACGGGCCGATACGTGTCGATACTTTGAACCTTGGGATGGAGTGTAGTTTTACATCGATTTTATCAATGTAAAACTTCACTCTTCCACCCATTACTATTTTCAAAAAAGCAACGATCACTTTCTGGTTCAGTGTAAAATGTTATCTGCATTGATTCCAAACGCAGCGTTATGTATCTCCCTTCAACAAATATGCGAAAATCTTCATGGGTTGCCCTTCTGAAAATTTCCAGTCAATGTATGGGGGATCATCGGCGATCGGCAACCAAGGTGGCGTCTGTTAAATAGTTTCAGTCACAGTGAAACTTTTTCATTGCTCCGAGAAGAAAAATGAATATACTTCCTCCTAGAAGAAAAATGAATATACTTCCTCCTAGAAGTCCAAAACAATAAGATACATCCTTCTAAACTAGGGCTGCCCCAGGCCAGATGGCAGATGGGGGTGTTTAATGAGAAATCCGATTAGTTGAACGGCCATTCAGTGGGCTGTGAAACCAATGATGAGATTCTATGTTAGTAATAAATGAGCAAGGTTTAGTTGAATGTTTAGATGTTCAATGGTTGTGAAACCAATGATAAGGTTCCACGCCAGTATTTATGGGGGCCTATCTTTACAGTGGGGTCCATGAATTTATTATTGACATAAAATCTCATCATTGATTCTTGACATAAAATCTCATCATTGATTCCATAGCCCACTGAACAACTAAAGCATTTAGTTAATCCAAATTCGTAATAAATTCACTGGCGTGGAACCTTGTCATTGGTTCCATGGCACAACGTTCAGCTAAACCTTGCTCGTTCGATGAATGTTGTATTATGAAAGATTTATTTATTAGGTAGAATCCCTTGAACCGTTGAAAGCATGCATAGATTTTTTGACAATAGGACAAATATCTTGGGAGAATGACGGTTCAGCCCAGGGTTAGAATTTTTAGGCCCAAAGTACAGTTAGGGTGGGTGACAGCTCATAATTGATGCTAATTCATGGGCAGACATTAGTGTGTAGAGTGGGGTTTTTGACATTTTGAATGTTTTATGCAGTGGAAATCAGAAATCTGCATTGGTCTTGTCCGTACTTCTCTGAAATATCTTTCATACGTTAGTTTTATGTCACACTCCATTGACGTGGCATATGATGATTATTATGATATTTTAAAAACATAATTTTGCCTTTTCTTCTTCAACATCTCTAACCAGCGAAACCCATCTCTGCTATCACCGACATCCCTAAATGGTAGAGGTGTAAAGTGGACCGTGCCAAGTCGGCACGACACTACTCGTGGGCGGCTTGTGCAAAGTGTGGGTCGTGTTGTGCTGGCCCGGGGGCTGTGCTGCCCTCCCCGGTGAAAATTTTGGGGGTCGGCCCGGCACAGCCCACGGTCCAGGCCCGTGCCATGCATCGGGCCAAAGCTATTTATTTAAAAAAAATGACAAAAACTTGAAATTTTAATTTTATATGAGTTTTGTGTATACAATTGCTTATATATACAATAATTAAATAAATTAGTATAATACAATTAAAAAAGTTATTTATTTTATTAATATATTATATACTATATATTATTATATAATTATAATTTATATAATATTATATAAATATATATAAATAATATATATGGGCCGTGCCAGCCCGCGGGCCATGGGCGGCATGGCCCGCTCGGTCGTGCCGTGCCATACCGGCCCGTGGACCTAAAACCCCAGGCCTAGAACGGCTTGCATGATTGTGTTGGGCCTAGCACAGCCCACGGACTGTCATACCAGGCCTGTCCAAGTTCATGCTGGACTGTGCTGGGCTGCGGGTGGCACAGCCCAATTTACACCTCTATTGAATGGTATGAACTTAATCACCAGGACTCTGAAAGAAGCAGTACCTAATCAACATCATTTATAACATATCCCTACTGTTTGCAATTTCAACAAAGCATAAAACCCATAAATAACGAAATCCACCCCTGCTGTTTGCAACCTATTTACCTTGGCTTTTCTTTCTTTCCTCTCCAGGTTCATATCTTCAACCTACCCTGTTTTCCTCAACGGTTATTCATTGGCTTATGGAATGGGTAACCTTGTTGGTTTGCAGCAGTAATAGTCTGGCTTTCCACCCTTTCCAGCTTGACACCACTACACTACAGACAACCGTGAACTAATTCGATGTCTGGATAAGAATGAATTGGGCAAAGGAATCTATAACCTAGAATTAACGAATCCACAAAATATATTATGCCTACAAACACATTCTGCATTCCGGTATCCTTCAAATCTTTTGAAAAGTTTTATCGACAAACTTGGCCAAACTCAGATGGGTTGCTCGAAAAGGATGGACTCGGTTGGTAAATGTTCTCAGTCACTTGAACCAATGCCTCAGAAATTGTTGCTTATGGTTTTGCTGAGCTATGATATAAAACAATAAAAATAAATAAAAAATCTTTGGTTTTCTAAAAGTTTTCGGGTGGTCCCTGCTTATATCTCAAGATCTTTGTTTGGATTGAGATTTCGCTATTTATGGAGGTTGGGATTGTTTACATAAAATGTTGTTTTTTTTGGGAAAGCAGAAACAAACAAAACAAAAATTCTTATTGACAGATCTTGCATTTTCGTTAATTGCACGACACTTTTAATTTAATGTGAAAAATGTTTGAAGAGAAGCCGCATTGTTACGAAAGGGCGTGGTTATATATTTGAAAATTTGAAAAATAATGAAGGGTAAAATAAAAATTTCAATATTTATGTCAATGTTTAATAGTGATATCAATTGTTTAGACTCAGTTTAGCAAGATACAAATGCAAATATATACAATGTAAATACATACAAAATGATACAAAATACAATGTTTTGCACTCTATATATATTTGTATTTGTACTCTTTCCAAACTGAGCATTAAGGAGAATAAATACATATTTGCAGTGTGTAAAAACTTATATTTTGTATGTATTTGCACTGTACAGATTTATTTATATTTATACTCTTTCCAAACTAAGCCCTAGAGGTACATTAAGAGATTGTGCAAATAGTAGGGATAGCACAAGTCTATTTTCTAAAACTTAGGGGTAATTTTAAGTATTTTACCCTTATTTATTTTGCTTTTGCTTTACAAAGTATAGACTACATAGTAATAGTGGGGTACAGCATTGGTAACCCGTCCCTCAAACACCTTTCTAACTTATTTATCATCACCATTCTAAAAAAATCTAATCCATTGGAATGTCTAGTAGCAGCGAATGGTTGACAAATTGGTTCTCATATTTCATTATAGTGTTTTCAATATGTTGTTGATCTGGACAGCCGAATCATCCAAATCAGCACCCAACCATGATTTTGGGTTCGGTTTTCCTAAAATTTGAGTTTTGGTAAAAAACTATCTAACTTGGGTAGTTGAACCATTGACCTATTCGAATGGATCATTGCTTGCACATTAAATGTATATGCAAACTTTTTGAGATTTATATATCAATTTCAGGTAACGTTTTGTGATCTATGTATCCCAAGCCTTGCTCCACAATTTTTGCCACAATCCCTTTTTTGGTCTCAAATCCTAATATTTAACATTTTCATATAAATATATAGATAGGTTTGTTTTTAAAACATTGTTTCACTGGCCTCAGCGCCACAAATTTAAATACTAATCAGTTACCCAAATAAACTTCAATACTAATCATCTAACCTTTAATATCCAGTACTCCCCCTTGTCCATGATCAAACTTTTAAATCCTAATAATAACCTTATTAGTTTTACTTTTTCATCATTTGTCACTTTTCTGAAACACGTAGCAGTTGAAGATTTTAAGTGGTTTAATTTCGATTGTTTCTATTATTATCAGACCGAAATATAATGGTGAACCACATTTAGCCTCACAATTTCCTCTTGCTGTGAATCTTATGCCTAAACACAAGTGAATGTATAATTCAATCTCATATAACTTATCAGCTTAAGCAAGGTTCTTCAAATGGCCCCAGCGTTGTCATTATTAGTTACTTTGATATCTCATCTTCATGGTAATATTTTTAATGTGCTAAACATAAACAACAAATCCACCACATCAATGAAAAATTCACATTAAAATCTTGATCACTTATTAGAATCAATAAAGCAATATGAGATCGTTAAACCAATACAAGATGTCATAATCTCTAAATAGAACTAAAAAAATTATTACTGTTAAATGTTAACCCTTTTCAACTTCCTATGATTTTTAATCGTTGTATGGATCCAATAATGGCAGTTAGCCAAGAAAGATGAATAAGAGCAATGGAGAAGGCGGAAAACAGGAGATTAAGGAACTTTACATTGATGCATGACCTTTGGCTATAACTTATCGGCTATTCTTCCTAGAGCATCTGCAAGCTTGCCAAGAACAGCAACTAGGTTGTTAGCGTGGTCCTTCCGCTGGTCTCTGTCCAATTGGCAGTTGAGGTTCTGAGCTTCAAGTTGTGCACTGAGAATTCTACCATTCCTCTCCAGGACTTCAATTAATTGATCCTGTACACTGGTATCACCATTCCCATCTGCTGACAACCTCCTCCGCTTCTTAACCTTCTCAGATGTGGACCCTTTCTCAGGATTTGTTGAAGGCTGCTTTTCACTTGTTGTACCTGAGGAACTAAAACCGTTCAGCACAAAATAAAGTCCCTGGAAGTGTTGTATGCACTTGATAGAAAACAAGCATAGAGTTTCATCAAACGTTTGGAGCCAATCCTTGTGCCAATATTCAAGGGAATATTAAATAACAGATTCAGTGATGATAGGTTCCAAGATGCAAGCAACCAACTCTTTCTAAAGGGGAAAATAAGTCTGCTTATTCAGAAACCTCTCTGAAAAGGCTAATGAAGAAGAGAAAATAGAAAAATGTCTAGGGGAAAAAAGTCTAAGAGCTCCAATTTGTATACTAGATATTCACATTGGTTGGGTGTTTGAAGGTTGTGCAAGTACTGCAGTCTGCCACAACAGGGATTTAGGACTAGGACTAGAGCCTTCATTGTACTTGTTCCATACACATGGTACACATGAAGGCCGTATGTTGTGATCTTCAAGACCCAAACTGACCACGTTTTACCATGTCAATTGCATATTGCAGTCATTTATCCAGAGTTGATTTGTGTGTTCTTTTAATATCTTACAAAAGAAATTGAATGGTTAGGATAATCTGATTGGACAATTCTTGTTCTACCGATACTCTTGTGAGGATCCATTTAATCATGAATCCATTACCCCTTGTATGCTTGCAAACAGTTAAGAGTAGGGGATGATGGTGGTTCTTCACCCCTATCCTTGTCGCACAAATGTTTCCTAAACATTTGTATATTATTGTTTAGTTTTTAATGTGCACATATTCTTTGTATCTTCATATTCTTTTGTTGATTTGTTGTGACAAAGACTCAATTGAGTTCATAGCTGATACATCCAGACTGTTGGAACTTGGAAAACAAGTGAAAAGGCTATATCAATAGTTCAAATTCAATAGTTGTAGTTACAAATTTGCACGAGTCTCAGGCCTTTAATAGTCTATATAAATACTGATGTTTTCAAGAATTCTTTCTCGGTACTTTGATCCACAGTAGAATCTTATAACTGGTATTTGATCCCGTAGTTGAAACATCAACCTTGCTATGATCCTATAATGGTGATATGTAACCAAATACTTGAATTGGGCAATTATTATGATTTGTCTATATCAGGATCCAGTAGATGTTACAGGGGAAGCTGCATAATATCAGAAAAAACAAAAACAAACACAGCATTCAAGCAATAATATCAAAAGTAGCAACCTCTCATACAGCAAACAAATTTCCAAAGATTAAAATTTATATATTGGAATCTATTTAGTAGCGATGAACATGAAATTTGCATTACGGAAAGTCATTGTGAATTGATAGAGCAATTGGATTTTAGCTTACTTTTCCAACACAAACTGTGGTTTAGATAATGCTTAACCAAAGGCACCTATTATTTAGAGGGGTATAAAGCAACTTGGTCTTATTTGGGATATTAATTCTTGAAACAAACAGAAACTCTACAACAGCAAACCGATCTCTTTACAATCACAAATGCAGTAGTTGGTACCTTGATGTAGATATCCTTCAGAAAAAGGTTGGTACTGCTTCTCTGCATCCAAGTACAAATTCAGGACTCAAGTCAGTAAAAAAAAGAAAACAAGAACAAGAACAAAAGAGGTTCACGAGAGTGAAGACACTTTAGCAACAAGGAGAAGATCCAACTCTATTAACCATTAAGGAAGATGAAAACCCTCTGCAATGAAGCATCAATCAAGGCCATATCACATTTATGCGAACTTCTGTTAACAAAATGCAAAACACTAAGCCTCTCACTCACTCTCTCTCTCTCTCTCTCTCTCTCTCTCAACAAAGTACAAAACCTCAGAAAGAAAACAGACACCCAACATAGAGAAAAAAGGATAATATTTCTATAAAGCCAAATGAAATAACACTTCAATTCGATAATAAGTTCCATACAAGATACAACCCTAAAATAAATTCAATCATCCAAAAATATCTTCTCTAAAAATAAAAAAGAAAACAAAACAAAATCCAACCCAACCAAAAAAAGCCAACTGAAATGCTACCCATCCAATAATATCTCTCTACAAACCTAAATAAGAATTCAATTTAATCCAAAATCAAAAAAGAACTACACAAAATCACCTTTCTTGCAAGACCAAATGAAATTCAGTTCAAAAATACCTTCTCTACAGTACAAATAAAGTACAATTAAATCCAAAAAAGGAAAAAAATACTCTGAATTCTATAGAAAAAAAGTATTATTTACAGACACAAATAAAATTCAATAATATTCCTACGGTACCAAACCCAGATATGAATTCAGTTCAATCCAACGACATCCGCCTGGAAAGGAAAGAAACGAACAAAAACAGTAAGTCGAGAAACCATTTAAAGAAAAATTACCCGAAATAGGCACTGGAGCCGGGATTGTCCTTGCGGGGCTCCCCATCGCCGTCTCCTTCTCCGATTCACCACCGGCCTCTTCCTGCCCCGGTGGCTCAAAATCAGAAAATAATCCACCATCAGCTGCTGCACTTCGACCACTATAAAAAACTGCCTCCTTCTCCTCTTCCTTCACCACCGTCGGCGCCCTTTCTATGCTCTTCCCATCCGTCGTCACCGCCAGCTCCGTGATCGGTCCCGTCCCTCCGGTCAAGATATCATATACCTCTCTATCAAAGAACCCTGGCAACTTCCTCTCTCTCCTCAAATCGTTCCTCATGGCCCAGAAAGACTCGGCCTCTTCCTTTATCTGCGACTCCCACTCTTTGATCTTCTTAAAGTCTCCGGCGAGGTTGCTCCACCGTTTCCGGCATTGAACGGGCTCTCGGTTCACGCCGTGCCGTTTGCAGTAAGACGAAACAGAGGCCCACTTGGGTTCAAGGTTGGACGACCCGAAAGCCGAACCGGAGGCTCGGCCCCTTCGAACCCGGTTCTCTGCAACCTTCTTGCCCTGGATGAGGATGAGTATCTCTTGTCGAGTCCACCGAGGAAGCCTGGGTGGTCTGTTGCTATCGTCGGCTGCATCAACGCCGTTAGAGACGGGGACGGCGTTTGGGTCTCCGTCAACGGGCGGCGGCGGCGGACTTAACTGCTCATGAGCCATGCACGAGGAATCGGTTTGAGGCACGTGACTTAACGGGTTGGTGAAAGTAACGGCGTCTACCTTGAGGTCCGTTTATATGCCAGAGGAGAGGAACCAGCTCTCAGGGGTTTGGGCTTCTTGCCCCATGAGAGAGAGAGAGAGAGGCTTTGTTGTGGGATTGTAGTTTTGGGCGGGTTTTGCAAGCTATATGGAAATCCTATTCCTAATCTTTCTAATGTTTGTTTTGTTTCCTTTTTTTATTAATGAAATAATTTGGTCTTGTATTCTTTGTACTGAGTTCTTATTATAAAAAGTTAAGAGGACATCACTATCTTGGTTTGGATTGATAAGGCACCACCACCCTCCCCTAGAGCTATATATGTATTTCATAGACAGTCCACCACCCTCAATTCTTTCTCTCTCTCTTATTGGATAATTTGTCTCAAATTTCACAATCAATGAACCTATTTTCTTTTCGGAAGGCAATGAACACAAGTTTTCCATGTTATTTTGTCACCGGAAAATAACCAATTGGGGGTGGGGGTGGGGGGGGGGAGGGGGTGATGAGAGCGTCATTGGGTCAAGGAAGGGTCACAGTCTCCTTGTGACTGGGTGGGGGGCCCAGATCCAGAGGGATGCCATGGGTATACCTATCCAAGGGGCATATGGTATTGACACGTGTCACACTTATGAAGGTTCTTTCTATCTTATTTTCTTCTCTTTTATTTTTAGGTGGTTGTCTATTCCTAATGGCGTGACACCATTTGCTCAGGGTCCCATTGTCTTTTGTCTTCCTCTTCCAACGCCTTTGCCCTTTCGGAGCCTAGAAAACAAGGTCATGGCCAGTTGAGAGATGCATAGAGATTTCTATATGCCAACAGTCGAATCATGTCATTCACACCATGAGACTATACCCTCTTTACTCAACACTTGTCCATTTGATTGTTTGTTGGATATGTTCTTGGCGTATAGGATGCAAGATTAGGTCCATAGAAAATTTCAACCCTCTACTGTCTATGAATGGAATAATGGATGATGGGTATACATTTTTTATATGAAATATAAATATACATTTTCATTTAGCTTTTGTGGCCTGGCAAGTTTTTAAATTGGGATTCTGGTCAAGTGGCTACATACCCTAAAGCCAGCTTGGGCTACACCTTCTATGGTAGCCTTTATTTGGTCTTTGCATGTGAAAACAAGGGTCCCTATCTTCTTATTATGTAGGGGCAGTAATGGTGAAGGATGTCCTCCACTACCCACCAATCAAGTGTGCTTAATTACAATGAAAGGTCGAAGCCTCCTAAGTTCCAATTTCATTGTAATGTCAATATGCTTGGTGTGACTGTGGAATCGTGGATGAAGGTTTGTTTGGACTGATAGATATAGGTCTCTCTCTCTCTCTCTGGTTAGAAATTTCCTAATTTGGTGGAAGATAGATCTCTCAGGTTTTTGAGATATATTTGAGCAAGCAATTAAAATTCGTTCAAGTAGAACTCGAATGGTTTTCTTCTCCCTATAAATACCTCAGATACACCTCAAATTATTGTCATTATTATTATATATTGATACTGGAAAAATGGTAACTGATTAATGGGCCTGGACCGTATAAGGCCATTTCAGAATTTTATTCATAGTCCAAATGATAGAAAATGTTTCTTGGAAGCTGATATGCTATTTGGGCTCAAAGCTCAATATTACAGATTGAAATATACCTATCCTATATAGTTAAGATATGACCTTGTTGAGTTGAGTATGACAGAAGGAAATAGTTACTTTAAATGAGATGATGATACTAAAATCTATGAAACTAAAATAAAAGAAGCCAAAAAGTAACACAACTGATATAACTTGGAGATTTTCCCAAACTTAGAAGAGCTTTCCATGACCTTTAATCCAACTATTTTCAGCAATAGCTACCTATCAAAAAAATAAAAAAACTGAGCTCAACTTTAATCCAACTATTTGGGGTCAGCAGTCTACTGGCATGTCCTGCCATATTTTGCTCTATTAAGAGCCTTTTTTATAAATTTTCTTACAAGTCTTTTTTATCAATTGCTATATCAAGAGCTATGTTTGCAAGTCCTTGGATCATTTCTTACCACTTGATCTTCCCTATGCTTTTTCAGAGGGTTCTACTTAGATCAAGTCATTCCTTCTAATTAGTGCAGTAATTGGTCATCTAAGCACACAGCTAATCCATCTCAAATGTGCTCTTTTGTAATTGCTTTCTAGTCCTGTCACTGACCACCTCAGCATCCTCCTCTCAACTACACTCATTTTTTGGAGATGTTTCTTGATTGCCCAACACAATGCTTCAAGCAACATTACTAATCTTGTAAAATTTTCCTTGTCTCATCTGTATTAAGGGTGATCATCTCAACTACATTGCTAGTCATGCTGCAGTAACCAAATACTTATAATTCATTGAGCATCCATTTCCCAAATTTTATTTTCCTGCATCATGACAATCAAAGGTCTCCCATTTTAAAGAAAATTGTTAGTCATTCCTCCTCCTAGCACTTCCTACTTATATACTAATCAATTGTCTTCCTTGAGAACTCTTCTGAACTCAAGTCAAGTTAACTCAACTAAGCCTTGTTCTAACCACTTTGGTTGGCTACATGTATCCTGTTCCACCATTCCACTCTGTTTAGTGACGTATCAATTGTTAAATTATGAGCCCTCAAATCATTTCTTATTATTTTGATCCATGTCTTTTTTAGTCTGCTCCTAGCCCTTCTAGATCCTTTAACTTGTAACAGATTATTTCTTCTCATTGTTGTAGATGGTCTTATTTGCATGTGACCGGGCCATACATTCCTTTGTTAGATCACCTACTGGAGCCAGTGTTTTAAAGGTGCAAGGTGCAAGAAAAGTACAAAGGTCTTCCAACACCCAAAGTTCAAGGCACAAAGAGAGGCATGCATTGGAAGCAAGAGAAAATTTATGAAAAAAAGTTAAAAATATAAAAATAATAGTAATATATAAAAATTGAAAACCTGACTTTAAAAGAAAATAAATGATTTAAAGTGGAAATATAAAATTGAAAACACACATGTGATTGTACCAAAGTGCTTCAAGTACTCAACAATTCAAGTATATGAAACTTTCAATGTGTTTATTTGTCTCATTGCATCACTTCAAGTAGCTAGTGTGATATTAAACATCTTGCACTCTTAGTCCTAGGAGATTAGTTTGCTACCTCCATAAATGCCCCTTAAGGCAAAGCCCAAACATATGTATAAAAGGGTTGGCTTCGTGATTTTAGTGGCAGCTCATTCAATGTTGGGATTAGGGTTGGATATTTGTTATATTGTCGTTGCTTCTTTGGTGGAAAATTTGCTATTTGAAATCTTATTTGCAAGAACTAAGGACTTAGCTATTCAAAAGGTCGTTTTTTTTTGTTTATTTTAAAAGTTAATAGAGCAGTACTAAGTGTCAAAAAGTATGTTGTTCCTCTACATTTGGAAGGAGAGAGAGGAACAGCAGAGTATTTGAAATCAAATCATCTCAAATTCATGAAATCTTCATACAAAATATGATTGCAAAGATCTTTCTGTGGGATAAAGCTTCCAATCTATCTACAGATTCCCTTTTGCATCTAACATACTTTTTGATGGTTTGTGAATTTCCCACACATTGTACACTCACTGTATTGGGAGTTCCTCCCATTTTCATTGGTAATACAAGTATACTTTGCCTTTTTCTCAAAAAAAAAAAAGGCAACTTAGAAATTGCTAAACCATTACAAAAGTGTAAAACACATAAGTTTACAAAAAAAAAAGGAAAAGAAAAGAAAAAAGAAAAAAGGCATATTTAAAAAAGGAGCACACTTGAGCTGAGGCATAAGCCATGCCAGGCGTCCACCTTTTGAAAGGGCCTGCTCTCCTGCCAAAATTAAAATTCTACAAAACTTCAAAAATTTGGCAAATTAGAGAACATGACATACACACAAACCCCAAAAGGCAGTTATATCCTTGATCGTAGAAGTTTTAATAACTAATTTTCATTTACCAAGTTAATACTTGCCTTATAATTTTGCATGCTTAGTAGAAATAATACTGGAGCCAACAAAGGACTAAACATAGATAAAGTAGAATGGAAGAGCAAAATTAATGTAGCTGATCCAAACATTATAGAAAGGCTTACTTGATTTGAGTTTCTTATAATTTTCTAATATTTACCATGTCTTTTTTGATCAATAACTTCACCATTTCATTATATTAAAAGTTAAGAAGATACAAGAGAACACCAAGGGAGAGATAAGCTCTCTTAGCTCTGCCATCAGAAGTCAGAATGTACACTGATTACAACAAAGCGCAGAAAAGCAGATCTCTTCCCACCCCTTGCTTTGCTAAAACATCAGCAAAAGAATTAGCACTTCTTTTACCATATCTTCACACAAAATGAAAATATAGAAGCTATTTATTAATAGCACAAAAACAATTAATCAATAAAAAAGGTACAATGGCCATTATTTGCATACCATGTTCTATTTTTTGTAATATAGTCAAATGTAGTAATAATTGCTTAATGCAGGATGCCTATTAAGCATTTGAATTTCAATAAACGCCATCTGGAAACTATTTACCACAACTACCACAGAATTATGAACAAAAGATTAAGAAGCACTGAAGGAGTTCTTTACCTACAAGGGGGGTATGTTACCAGCAACAAATAACATTATCCCAACAAGTTTGATATCATGGTGGGAACTAAAAACGCACTTGACAAACAGATTAGGCTCATAACTGTGATTAATGAATCTATCGATATTCCCAACAGAAGCTGCATCTATATAATTCAGTATTTGGGCACACTTTTGACTTATTGTCATCAGTTATGTCCAGATTATTTGTTGTAAACATAGAAATATCTCCTGGTCACCTCTATCAGGCATCTATTTAAGGAAAAAGAGAGAAAGGAAAACAGGTTATGGGGAGAAATGGCAAACAGATATTGGAATATCAATTTGGAAGGTATGATGAAAGCATTTTATTTTGGTCATGGTACCAAGCTATTGGGATTAGACCCTTTATACAAAACATCCCTATATAATATGTTAATATATTACCAGCATTATCCTAAGAACACTGCCCAAAATGTCTATTCACACCCCACCAAATAATAAATACATAAATAAATAAAGCAAAACACTTAGACCTAAACAAAGGGCAAAAGAATAATTAACCATATATAGATACCTAAGAGATCTCTTCTACCATCGAATATTCTGTAGTTTCTTTCTTCAGGTATCCCAGCAGTCAACAACAAATGGAATGAAACTGTTTGGTTCCATTACATCAGTAACTGTAGTGCTCGAAAAACTTAATAATATTTGCCATGTATTGCTTTCACTGAATAATTGGAATAAAATTTCATAATATCCATGGTCACCTCAAGTCAAGTAAAATGCGAATACTACAGGAAGAAGCAACCCAATGCATGAGGCTCCTGCCAATGTGGGGCCTGGGAAGGGACAGATGCGTGCAGCCTTACTCCTGAAAATACACATAGAGAGGCTATTTCCAATGAATGCTACAGGAAAGCAATGGGTAATAGAGCTTGTCTTGATACCGCCCAAACGGTTCAAGGCCTGTGCTTAACCAGGGTAATGATGGATAGTGACTCAAATCATTACCAAATATAGTAAGTGGAGGAAAGACATGCCTTGGTCTTATCTACTTTTGTCAAGATTTGAGAGACAAGATCAGATCTATCTCTATGGAGAAGACCACCTACAAGACTTTGACACTTGCTTTGTTCATGATGGGGTTCTATACACATCAACAATCATAGGTCATGGTTTTCATGTATCTTTCAACAAGTCTAAACAGTAAAAAAGGTATGACTCAAGCATGCTTAGGCTCACAGACCAAGCTCACAGGGTTGTCTGTTACAAGTTGAAGGGGCTAGAAGAGATAGGGGCAGACCGAAAAGGACTTGGGTAGAGTAAGAAATGATTTAAGTGCCCATTATTTAACAATTGATATGGAACTGAACAGAATGGAATGGTGAAACTGGATTCATGTAGCCAACCCCATATAGTTGGGACAAGGCTTAGATGATGCTGATGATGATGTCTTGTCTGAACCTAGGTGCACCTCAAACCTAGCTTGTTGCTATTTTTGATGAATTAGTCCTTAACTTGATGATTGATGTTGAAAGTTGAATACATTTGCTATAATTATAGGCTATTCCTACGATGCTTAATGTTTAAACAATTTAGCTGACATAGCTTGAAGTTTACTCCTTAACACAATTTTCAAAAAAAAAAAAAAAAGCTAATATGATTTTCGGAGTATTTTATTTCTTTCAGTATTAAAATTGGCATATTTTCAAAATTTTAATTTTTTATTTTCAAAAGTGGCACCTCACTTAGTTTATGTGTTTGCTTCACCTTACACCTTGTGCCCCCCTGCAAATAGCAACCTTGTGCACTTTAGTTGCATTTCTTGCTTTTAAATCACCAGGTCCAGAACACAAGCTTTTTTTGTAAAATGAACATACCTTTGTTATGAAGTTCAAAAAGAGACCATAATCAACATGTAGTGCGAAAGTTGTAGTAAACACTGAACTCCATATCATGAGTAACAGACAGGGTACAAACCATGTAGTTCTAAGTATATCCAATCTTCTTAACATCATTATTTATCTGTCAAAATTAGCATTAGGTGACTGGTGCAAGCAGACCAAGAGGTGGCAACATCTACACTTTGTTATGAAGTTCTCCATGGAGTCTGGACTGTTCTTAACTTTAACTTGGAAAAGAAACCTAGAATGACTATCTGAAAAAATCCAGGGGGGGTGAAAGGCAACATAAGATATCAACTTGGGTTTTGGCAAAGTTGCTATGACAGCAGTGCATAGTTTTTGTAGAGGAGATGGGCCGAATGGCCCATAGACTGTCATTTCATGTTATGTTATGTTTCTCTCTGTTATGGGCCTTATTCTGGGCCCATACTCTGTAATGTTCTGTTTTTTGTATTTTCCTGCCCACTCAAGTGCCTCTCTGTAATTTGTCAAAGATTAATTTCTTAATAAGATGTTTAGAGTGTTAGAGAGGGGTTATGTTTGAACCTCTTACTCTCTAACACTTATTGCATCTAATCTCAAATAGTTCCATACATCAAGTGGACTGTTTTTCAACTTGGTATCAGAGCGGGCCATTGCTTGGCGTGTCCCTCATGTGGTTCTAGTTCAGCCAAYTGCATGAGGAGGTTCTAGGGCTGAAAGTTTACAGTCATCCGCCTGGTTCTTGGAGGTCATTGGAGGGTGCCCAAGTTTCTACACACTTGGAGAAGGGTTCGGTGACCAGGAAGAATCAGAGAGCAATGTGTTCAGCCTGATTTGAAATCAGAGAAGAGGATTTCGAAGTTATCTCAAAGAACAAGTGTTCGGCCTGGTTTATAGTTCAAACCAGAGACTCTCTTACTGTAAGTTTTTCTCAGTCCCTTGCTGGGTTATTTTTTGTTGTTTGGGAGGACTGTTAAAGCATTCAAAGCCCACCTCCATTCGGCCCACTGTTGCTGGACTGATTATACTTAGAAATTTCTAGGTTATTTTGGAAGTGCTATTCGGCTGATTATTGGACTGCCAAGTTGCTGAAACTGATCTAAACTAAGTGGTACTAGTCTCATCTTCATCCCARCCTCTTCTTGGACCTATAYTGAACACTTTGAAGTGGTTTCTTCTAGTTAACAGTAGGCTGTTAACTACTGCACACTGAGTGTTCGACAAAAGGTCTCTTAAGGACTGTGRCCTTTTTTTYTCTTCTCTTTGGGACAACGGTTGTTGGGAACCTGAAATACCTTGTGATTGGAGGTTTGCTGGGTGTCCTTTGAAGGCTGAAACAGTATAGAAAGA